TAGACATCATTTTAATTCCTCTATTCAGGTTTTACTCAAGTCTGTCTTGTAATTTTTTTTTCCTGTGGCGCTACAGCCCAAATTTGGGCCTAGGCCTACCTCCATGAAACTCTCCATTTCACTTCGGTTTACTAGATCTTACACATACGGTAGGACTCCTTGGGCGAGTGATCAGCTTGTCGCAAGGCTTCTACCTGTAGAAAAACACAGGAAAACGCACACAAACATCCATGCCCTGAGTGGGATTTGAACCCATGATCCCGGCTTCCGAGCGAGCGAAGACAGTGCATGCCTTAGATCGCTCGGCTACCGTGACCAGCCCTGTCTTGTAATTACTACGTATAGAAATAAATATTAAGGACTGTGCATGCACTTCTACTACCGCCATATACGCGCGCTTCCACTAGCAGAGTTTAAATGCCCAACTGGCCAAAATGGGATACTTTGGCCGTGACGACCATACTCATCACTGGCCTGATCGGGGCACTTCGGACGTTAATGGTTAATCTGCTATGTTAGAGGTGACATGTATTGTTTCGTTTGATATTTCATGGTGAGCAGAGAGAGAGTAAAGTAACTGTATGGGATCAGTAATTATTAGAAGAAAATATTTTATATATTGAGATATGATTATATGTGCTCAAATGCAAGGTACTACACAGTTGTTGCGGGGACTTCAGGCCAGATCAAGAGACCCATAGAAGAACCTGACTCATCAGAGCAGTTAGTTCATAGACAAAGAAGTGGTATAATTATAAGCTTCCAAATTACTATGTAAGATTTTAAGCTTCATAGTTGGCTTATGGCCACTCCCCATGTTGACCCTAATGAGGAAAGTAACAGGTCTCCAAAATGCTGACCTTTAGATCAGCCATATTGTTGTTGAGTGCCTGAGATTTTATTTCTTCCAAATTAATACATTATGTAGCTGTTTCTATTAAAACAGATGAGAACATTAAGAGTATGTTTGGTGTGTAGTCGGTCTCTCCATATTTCTAAATGTTTGTATACGAAAGCGGTGGAAGAAAAGAAATCGCATAACGTAACCATTCATTTCTGTTATTTATTTTTCAGTGCATATTTTGGAAGTGTTCCTAAATGGTGTACATAACTTCAGTATTCGGAAGAACTCTGTTATTAGAGTATAGCTATTATAAATTAAAAATGTGTTACTTACCAGGGGGTTTAAATTATGTCAGTATATTTTTCTTTAATGTCTCTCCCACCCCAAAATCCAATAAGGCACTGTGTCACAATCATGATTACATATTGTATATTCTGACTGGAAGTTTGTGTTTTCATCTGTAGATCATCATTTATGTCTACAATTAATTATGAATTTTGTTCACCATTGCCACCACTAATTACTATTGTCATTGTTATTATTGTTGCTGCTGTTATTCTGGAAAATATGCAGTTTGATTGTTCATTTAATTTTCCAAGAGTTTTACTTCAAGAACTATGGAAATGGTTGCATAAAGTGCCTCATATGCACTCGCACACACTTCCGGAATAAGATAAGCAGCATAAGAAAAATTAATTTTTAAAATATTACTATTTCGTGTTACAATGTAGAAAGACTGCTGTTGGGAACCACTTGCTTATGGAGTATGTAGTGTCTAGTCCTGATGTAATCATCTGTCACCGAAGACTTGAATTGTAATCTTGTAATAGGATTCCAATCAATGGGGAACACACATTTTCATTAAAAAATTGTATTGTATTTTAAAAAGCAGCGCTCTGCTTCTCTGTCAGTGTGTGTAATGGATCATGTAGGTCTTCTCATTGAATCTGAAAGATTTCTCTTCCTGCCATTCCTGTTTCTTGTTTAGGGAAATTTTCCTGACTGCTTTAGGCAGCTTACCCTAGGAAGGACGGCATCTTTTGTTGCCGATTATTGTTAAGTGTTTTCGTAGCGCATTAATTTTTTGTATCACTGAACAACGTAAGTTTGTATTCTGCCTGCTCATGGAAAATGACAATCACTGGGTTTTGTACATAAACAAAATTGCTCATATTGTCTTCATGTGGAGTGTCTGGTTCCAGTATACATATTATGTGATTCAGAAGTACAAATATTTAACTGAACGTTGTATGTGTGTGTGAGAGGGGGAAAGAGAGATAAGAGTGTTTATGTGTCCTCTCAACTCAACCCTGTTAGTGCAGCAGAGGATTTTCTTTTTAGTTCTTTCACTGCCAACCCCAATTATTTGATATACTCTTTTCATTTTCTTCAATTTCGTACTTTGTACCGCCCCTGAATTCATCTGTATTACCTTGTGTTATGAACACCGAATTCTCATCAGGTTCAAAGAACATTAGTTCAAAAAGTATACTACACGTTTGCCCACTAAATAAAAAGAATTTCATCAATGATAACTACTTATGATGTGAAATGCTGATATCAGTGTTTGCAGCAAATATGTATATGACTGGGAAGATGTGTAAGTGCTTACAGAATATTATAGTAAAAGGGTTAAACTGAAGAGTGTTTGTAGTAACTCGTTACAAATGCATAGCTAATATTTGTTTGTCCCTGAGTGCTCGCGTAGATTTCCAGGATTCATATAAGAGTTTATTGTCCGTATATTGAAGCTGAGGATGGATGAAGAGATCACAGGAGCTGAATTTATTATTACTACAGAATTTCCTTAAACATGAGATTAACTTACAGCATTGTGACACCTATCTAATATAGTGGACCTTTACTGAGACTACAGAGTTTCTTTCCAAAAGTTATGGCTCCAAACTATCTCCTCCTTAAAAAGCTAATAATCACTCAACAAATCGGCAAGTTTCCCATTTTTTAGTGTATGAGTCTTTAATAGAAGGGGGCTCATGGTCCTCTACCCCTTCTGCAAGCTCTGAGAATTACCCATAATCAGCTGTCTGTAACAGCTTATTCAATATATTTTCAGGTCTCCTTCATATATAACCTGAAAATATGCATACCTTGGTGACAAGGGGCCTAATTAAAAAGGAATGTAGCTTCAAGAATGTTGAAAATTTTTGTTGCCCATTGATAGTACAAGCCATGAGGGATGTTTTCTTACAATATAATGTTAACTCACTGAACAAATATGCATCATATATTCAGTATTTACTTGTTTCCTAAAAGTTTGTAAAAGGGATTACATCCCTTTGCACAAGATCCTTCAACTGAATAACAGAAATGTTGAAATTGTTTGCACAACCATGTATAAAGGAAAGAAATGTGCAGTTACACATGGCAAGTTCTGAGTTTTAACTTATGTTAATATGCATACTTTTGACTATGGTGTCTTAGGGACATGCTGAATCTCCTAGGTTTTGTGCCAGAAAGGAAATTGATTGCAGGTGCCTTCCTGATTGTTGCTTGTTACTGAATTTGTCTTTCAAACTGGTGATGTTCTTTGTGATTGCAGTTCTCATTAACATACTCAGCTATTGTTTCATCTGTCTCATAATTTGATAGTCCCTATTAATGAAACTTTCCTTTCTGCTTCTGTTATATTCAGCATTTGTAACAGTTACAAGAAAATTGAGAAATTACATGCATGTGAAGTTTACTCTAAACAATGAAATGTATCATGCAAAAAGAGCTTCAAATTGAATTCAGTCCCCAAGTATTTGAGATTCTCCATTATCCCACATCCATTCATCTTACCAGGCATGTCCCATACAGTGCTGATCAATTTCAGGCTGGTCAGTTTTAATGTGCACTGAATTTCATAGTGCACATTTTATGTGCACTTTATTGATTTCATTTTGGAATATCCCACCATCCCAAAGAAGAATTTATAGTGCATTGTCATTTTGAGTTCACTATATATGACACAAAGAATGATTTGAAATGCTTCCTTTTATTTCCAAAATTAGAAAATTGTTGGTTTGTTTGGTATAGTTCGTTCGCGGACTAAAACCACAGAGGGTTTTTTTATTGGTTGTGAGTAAATGCTGTGTTGAATTGTAAATATACTTTCCGTTTAGTTTAGATATGGGGCACAAGAACAGTTTCCAGTCTTGTATGTGTATCTTCTCTGGCTGTCAAACACATTTATGTGTGTGTACCTCTTGTTTTGTAAGCAAATGAACAGTACATTTGTCCTCCATCCATTCTTATAGAATATGAAGTGAAGAAGGGAAAAAATATTAGAAGATATTGAGACACAATAAACATTTAAAAACTGAAAGAATAATTTGTGAAGTTTTTGGTTTTTCTTGGTGTGCCGAGGACCCGTGAAGTGGCACTTGTGCTGTTCTTCAACCAAATGCAAACCATAGCTGTAAATTGGTTTATATATTTTGACAGTCAGAGAACACTGGGACAAGCTTGGAAATTCACTGTTCTTCGGCACAATCTAACAGAGCAAAACCTTTTCCACCCATATGAGCCACATGGTGCTCTGTTGGCTGTGGTAAATCATGGGCTTGGAATAAATATACATTAAGTTAATGTATTAAAAACTATGTACATATAATTTAACTTTTTTATTCTAGGTATGTTTTATATTCTGCACTACTAGCAAAAATTTTATAATTTCATAATAAACTTATGTAATGTGTTCAAAATTGTCACATAAATAATTCTGTAGTACACTTCTTTTAATTAGTAAAATTATTTTATTTCTGCAGAATACAGCAGCTATAGATAATGGGGTGCTGCACAGATCATTTCAGCAGTGGAGCTGATGAGGACTGTTGTTATGCATATTCTGAAAGCTAAAGTGTGGACAGATGTAAATTTATCTCAAGCCAACAAGTCAAAGTGTGAATAGGTGTGTGGTGCTAAGATTAACAGGACTGGAGCTCTTTGACCATGAGCATTAACAACACATTGAAAGTAGCATAAAGAAAAGTATAACTCATTTTGCCTTGCAAGAAAGATTCAGAAACTTCTGAATGTGCACCATGCTCATGTTCATAAAATGACGAGGTTTTGCTCCCCTGTCCTGGTTCCTATCTCCATATCCTCACAACAGTTTTTATTGCAATGATTCAATGTGTTTTGCTGCTTGCAGGACACCCAACTTGTCTACAGTTTACGCCCAACATGATCATCTCGGTACGTAAGTACCGATGGCAGTGCATTGAGTGCAAGTGTTGCTCCATCTGTGGCACATCAGATAATGATGTAAGTGAAAGATCCTGTAGGGATTGGAAGTTGATCAAAACAAATTAGTTTCTGCACTTACAGAAATCATTTCTGTGTGTTTAGGTTTCCACAGGAAATCTTATTGTTTATTTCAACTCTTATTTCATCATGTGGAAGGCAGACAGAAGTAAATGTTAGAGCATTACCTTCGTGTAACTACGAATTTAATCAGAAATATATTGAAATATGCAACCAGTAAACAAATTTTGAATTAAAATATTATGAATGGTTTTCTAGTAAAACTCTGTACTCTCTTTTATCATATTTTTCGTGGGAAACAGGATTTGCCTGACCATCAGAATTGAGGGGGGGGGGGCAGAGTGTTCCAAACCAAGAAAATGTAGACATAGTTCAAGAGTTCTGTCTTAAGGGATATACTGCCATGTAGTCTATTGAAAGTATTTCAGAGAACATGTTGGTTTTTTTTATTGCTAGTGGGGTGGGACTAAGTCCCTTGTACTGCAGCCACTTCTGGCCTATTGTACCAGCCCCAGATGATAGGTGAGGGTGATTGTGTAGCAGTTGGTGGAATGAAGATTGGCATGGGAAACCAAAGTACTCGGAGAAAACCTGCCCAAGTGCCCCTTTGTCCACCACAAATCCCACTCGACCAGACCCGGAATTGAACCCGGGTCGCCGCGGTGGGAAGCCAGCGACTGACCACTTGAGCTGTGGTGCAGCCAACATGTTGGTTTTCTTTCAACAGACTACATGGTGTTATATCCCATAAGACAGAACCCTTCATAATCACTGCTGTGAAAACATCTAGTCATGAAACTGAAACAAAATTAGAAAATGTTCGCATATGTATGTACTCATGAAAGTAGTACCCTAGTATTCATTAGGAACTAATTTCACTTTGTAGAGCATCATGATTCTCTTTCATTTTGTGAGTGGTGTGATGAGCTCATACTTAGATTTGAATTGTTCCAACAGGATCAGTTGCTCTTTTGCGACGACTGTGACCGTGGCTACCACATGTACTGCCTGGCTCCACCACTCTCCTCTCCTCCAGAGGGCTCTTGGAGCTGTCGACTTTGTCTCGTGGAGTTCCACAAGAAGTAAGAGAAGATAAAGAGTGTTAGGCTGCTACCATGACATGCAGTTCTTCAAGACATTGGCCTCACTGCTGCATTCATTGGTGATAATGTACTTAAAATGGCATGGCTTATATATGTGGAATTGACAACACAAAAAATGCACTTAAACAATGGCATAGCTATGTTCTAAATCGCATTTCCAGTATATATAGCCGCAGTGTACTCTCAGATGTCTAGGCTAAGGATAAGGGATGACGGACAGATAATCAGATCCAGGAAGTCCAAAATCATTTTATTTTTAACTCTCGCATGTTGCATAGTGAAGTACATGTGCTGATGCCACAATCATAATTTTAATGATGATAATTGTAAATACAGTATTTTGTGGCTAGTGCTAATCTTCATTAGAATAGACCACCAGAGAAATACAGACACTCGGAAAGACTGAAAGTTACATATATTTTACAGAAACACAAGAATACCAGATAAATTGGAAAAAAAAAATCGTTTTGAAAGAGACTGCTTTTTACAATTGGCTTTCTTCTCTCAGTCAAATCTTAGGATGACTAATGTGAGAATGGAAAGACCACAACCATGTGGGATTCAGCGGATGAAGCTTTAATGACTTAAGACCACAAAGTTGAAGATGAATGCAGTAGTATGACAACGGGGCACGTGGTAGCTTGATTGAGGTACTGCTATAAGCCAGAAGGTTGCAGGATCAAATCCTGATGAGGTGGATTTTTTCAATTTACCTAATTCTTCCAGCTGTGCTGTGGTCATGTGATTGACTCAGCCTCTAAGAGAAATGAGTACCAGGAAAATTCTTTGGGTAAAGGGCAGCCAGTGCATAAGGCTAACAACCTTACTGCCATCTGTGAGCCACTTGTCTAGTAAATATGGGATCCAAAGCATCTCACAACCCTATGGGCCTCCACGGCCCGTTACAGGGATATCTTCATTTTTCTTGTTAGTATGACAATAGTGTCTTGGGGGAGGGAATGAGTCTGTCAACATCCTCCCAGTTTCCCCATCTCAAGCAGGTTTTAAGATGTGAAGGGTACCATAAAGCACTGGTGATAAACAGGTTGGAAGAAAATTAAGTTTGTTTCATATAGACAGTGAAACCCTTGTTTAGGGTTTCTTTAGGGACCAGTGGATTTGAACACTAATCTGAGGACAGTCTTAGATGGAGGTACTTTAACACTAAGTTTATTGACTTATCTTTGAAATTGAATATTAAATGGGGGAAATCCTTAAATCAGTGAACATTAAATATGGGTTCACTGTATCTGTTTGTAAGACTGTGTGATTTAATAACTATATAAATTTCTGTAATAATTCCTGTCAAAAACAAAAATTCATCAGCAGGAACTATTACAAAAATGTATATAGTATAAACACACAACTGGATGCATTCCTTAAAGGTGATTTAATAAATTCAGTAGATCAGAAAAATAAATAAAAAATTAACCCAGAGTAGTCCAGAAAATAATCCTTTCACACAGTGAAACTCTTATTACTGAGCTGTTTTGATACCATGTTGATATTTCAGAAAGATTAGCATCCCTTAGGATTGTGGTCTTCTCGGATGTGATGCATTATAGTTCAGTAGGTCTGTTCCTGTGCAGTGTATATTTCTACCAAAGTATACAGCATCACCTTCAAGTAGACCATTATATTACTGTTCATCTCTGTGAGAGCTTCAGATCTGATTGAACTATTTCCATAACTGTTGCATATCTTACAAAGCACCTCAATGTCTTGATGCAGTATGTCAAATAAAACTTCAGTGCCATCATAACAAAGAAGTCTACAAGATAACGTATGGAAAACCTCTTTCTGTGTAATCAGAATTATGACCCAATAATTGTGTATTGTGACAGTATTTGAGTTGTTAGTTTCAGATAGCTATTTGGAAATGCGGTATACTTGTCACTGTAGCTATGCTTTTGCTTACGAGGCAAGTGCCGTCTCACAATCACCTACCTCTGTTATTACAGATGTTATTTTAAATGTGAAATGTAGTGTGGGCTATGTGATTGTGTTATGTAGCTTTGCAGGTGCCTGTCAACTTGTAATGTACTAAACCAATAAATATGATTATCATGCAGATGGTGGTCTGAACATCCATTTTAAAATCATACTTTTTTTTTTCTTTCTTTCTTTTCACAATAGAGTGCCCAAGTTATTCTTCACTCTGTTCTGTTCCAAGTCAGAGCAGTATGATTTGTGCCAGAAAATGAAATGCATTTTTAAGTTGTATTGCAGATTAATGGTTTCATGGGCAATTACTCCTTTGTCAATATTGCACCTCCATAATGTGACAGTGTAACTGTGATTACTATAATCAGTGAAAGTTTTAACTCGCTTAAGTTTTCTGCTACAAAAGAGAGTGCACAGTTTGAATTATCTCTGCATTGGAGGGGATTGATTCCTTGGAGTCCTTTTTTATACAGGATGAATTAAATAAAATATTAAAATTAGGGGTTGAACCAAACAAATGTAGAATTTCAGGCCTCAACTTAAGAAGACTGAAAGATGCAGTGTACAATAAAATATCTGTACAGACAATTACTGTCATGTGACGGTTCAGAAATTGATTTTGAAATGTCAGAAATTACATGGGTGTTCATTTGTCATGGTAACTTATATACTTTGATGGCACTCTACAGTGAAAGTAATGGTACAGTTATATAACATGAAGGCATATGGGGGTGTGGAGGTGTAGCTCCATCATTTATAATCTCGGCACTTGATGGACAGCTTTACACCCCTGACATTTTACTCCTGGGGATACATCCCCCCAATACCCACTGTATAGGAGGCTGGATGGGCTCCAGAGCTGGTCTGGATTCTGTGTAGAAGAGAACACTTGCCCCTGCCAGGAATCTAACCCCAGTTGTCCACTCCATAGCCTAATCACATATACTGGCTGAACTAAGTTAATAGAAATAGTTGAACATTGTAATATATATAACTTTATGAAATATGTTGATGTATATATAGTATGTGTGCTTTGCGACAGGCTGATCCCGCTTCCAAGGAGTCCTACCGACTGTCTTAGATTAAGAAACTGAAGTGAAACAAAGTGTTTCACCAATGATGTATGCTCCAAGTGGGAGTAACAGGAATAAGAGAAGAAGAATAAGAGAATATGGTACAGGAGGGTAGAGCAGCAAATAACACAGTTTCAGAAGTTTTACACATTAAGATTTTTGTAAGTCCAGCCTTGCATAATCTGAGAAACCTTACACAGTGAAAGACAAGGTCCCTGCACTATAGACCAGAAGTTCCATTACACTCCAGACCTGATGGCTGAATGTGACAGATTTCATAGACAGTTTATGGAGCAGAATCCTCCCTTTGTAGGTAGTACTTGCTCAGCTAGTCAAATCCCCTCCATTTTGTGGAACCAAAGTTTCATTCCAAAGTTCAGAAGACCCTACCACTGGTTATTTAAATTTTATATTAAAATTAAATTCTGTTAGTATACACAGTGCTTTTGCCATCCATGAATACAAATAAAGGTACTTCATATGAGCATATGCTCTGCACGAAACAGATGTGATGCAATAATAAATCAGAGATACAGAAGCGTATGTATATGTTTAGCAAACTAAGTGAACATTGTATGGTGCATCTGCTGAAAGGAGAGGGGTAACTGAGCTTTGAGAGGAAGACAGAACATCTCCTGAAGTGTCTGGTATATGTTGTTTCTGCACTGCAAAATGTTAAAGACTTTTTATGTGTCAGTTGTGCCTCAGTTTACAGTTACACCAGAGTTTCTGTCATGTGAGGGTTTAGTGAGTACAGAATGCAGAAGCCCAAGTTCAGTTGAGGACACTGAAGATCAAAACTCCAAACATTCGGTAGAATGATGCAAAAACATTGGACCATTTATCAGTGATATATCAGATTTAGATCATATGAAGGTTTTGTTGTGTTTAAGTCATATCTCATTCTATGATATTCCTCAGTATCTCTATACAGATACTTAATTTCGTTAGAAAAAAGAGATTTAGTGATGGCAAGACCAACTTTTATGTTATGCACATTACCCATTCATCAGTCCCATGTTAAAGAATGGGCTTCCTGTTGAAATATTTGTTAAAACTCTTCATAGAGAAACCCATATATGTTACTGTCTTGATAGCTTCTCCAGGACCGTGTATGTCACACTTAAATGGTTAGCACTTGTATTTAAGAAGGCCTGGGTTCTATTCTTGGCAGAGGAGTCTGCTAGCAGTTTTTGTGTGTTTTTCCTCAGTCCCTATAACAAATTCTGAGAGACTATTTCAAGAGAAGTAATAGCCACGCCCTACAATTTCGCCAGTATCTTCAAATTCCATTAAACATGAATTCCTGTTGACAAATCTGAATCAGTAAAGTTTGACTATAATCATGAATATCTCTGGCATAACTGGAGCAGAATTACAAGCTTGATTGATAATAAACACATTGCAATGGCCCACTTTTGGACATCATTCATAATCCTAATTTTTTTAGATGTTTCAGAGACTGGGCTCTGTCTCCATCTAAAAACCTACTCTATTGGCCACAAGAAATGCCTGAAGACAAAACAGTCCAGTCTTCGAAAACTGTCTCAAAATTATGACAAATATATCCCAGAAATTGATCACCGAATGTTATCATTTACACACCTTCGATCCTATAAATAGATCATGAGTTAGTATATGTTTATATGTGTGACATAATTTGTTGTTACAGATATAAAACATTACATGAAAGGTGGCATATGTTGGAAAATTACAGCAGAATTAATCCTTTCCCCAACACTGAGGAGGTGTGTTCAGGTATTTGTAACCAGATATTGGGTGTTTGTGGTGAACATTTCAGAAATCTTTTCTCTGAGGAAGAGAGCCTAAGAATTCTTTACACAGGACACTGAACAAACAGTGAGGCTATTCTGAACATTACGTTGTCTGAGAAATGTCCCAATGCTTCTTCTACCAGTAACTTTGATCACAATACCGATTGAGATACAGCAGCTCATGCAAATTAAGCTGGGAAGAGTGGACAGCACACATGAAAAGTGTCTTGACGATTTTCATGGAACCACATAGCTTTTGAAACGCGAGGGGAAATCACGAAATATTAAAAACTAAGAATGTGTTGTATTCAGTAAATTCATGACGGCCAGTGGTAAATATGTTCTCAGGCTGGTAACACTTCTGGTTCCATAAGAACCGTACTCTGAAATTTAATACTCAGTTATGGAGAGAATAATTACAATAGACCTGATATAAGAGACCTACTCCTCTAACATGAATCTGTGAATCAAGGTAGTGCAATTTCGAGTAAGGTCCAGTAACTGAAATTTGCTGCCTGAATATTGTTAACGTTACATAAGTTACATTCTCAGTCATCCGTACGTGCCTAGTTCTGTAATTACAGTGATATTCTTTAAAATTTCATGCATTCATATGATATGGATCCCGTTTTATACTGTATATTCTATTTTATATTGCAGGATTTATATCGATTGGTTAAAATTAATTAGGGCGATAGCGGCCAATGCCCTTATGGCTTACAACACACGTCAATTTATGACGTCACTCGAAAACACAAAGCACGTGTTTCCGTAATGAAACGAAAGAAAGGTTTTGATTGGCTGCGTGTTCAGCAGCAACGCAAATAGTCGTCGTTTGTTTTTCGTTCACGTTGATATTGTGAGTGTGCTGTTGTGCAACAACGAGAAAAAGGTAAGAATATTGTTTATTAATTATTTCTAGATCATAATTTAGAGTTTTGTTATACTGAAAACCTTGTTTAATATATGCGGAATGTACAGACAACTGATTCTGTGAATAACTTTTCCAAATTCCTATTCCTGAGCATGTTGAAACATGCCCAAGGAACACAAATGAGTTGGCACTGAACATCCTGCAGTTAGAAAGTCGCTTGAGGATTTGCGTGATGTGACTTGTAATTTCTGAGGAGGAAGTATTTACGGAAACATATTCCTGTTGCTTTTACAGATCACGAAACTTCCGTGTGGATAAGATACACATCGAAACATAAGGATCAACGGAAAGTGTACAACAGAACTCCGCATATGAGCTGTAACTAATCAGCCTTCGTGGAATACGATTGTGATTGTTACCTGTGTCAAACAGCTCTTAGTGTAATTCAATTTCTTAGCCGGGCTGAGTACCAAGTACGTAGCCTTGCACAGAGTTTTGTTTCAACACTTATGTGTGTCACGCTGCAAGTATTGCTTGTCCTTATTCCCCAAATCAGCAGTAATAATCATGCTAGACGAGATTTCGGCGGCGGTGATCTTTTTAGTCCGCCTGATAGAGAGAAGCGAAAACTTTAACCAAGAACAGTTGGAAGATTTCAAAACACGTCTGTCACAGTTACTAGTAGAACGTTTTGAAAACCATTGGTTCCCAGACCAGCCGTGCAAAGGACAAGGTTACCGCTGCATCAGGGTAAATGAACGGGACCCCCGGGATGCTACCTTGGAGCGAGCAGCAATTGCTTGTGGATTCAAATATGAGGACTTGAAGCTACCAGTAGAGTTAACAGTTTGGGTTGATCCAAATGAAGTATGCTGCAGGTATGCATGAATGTTTGTTAGCCAAGTAGAGTCTTTTGTATGTGGGGTCAGAAAGATTGAATGCTTTTGTGATGCTACAGCATGCTAAGGGAGAATCCAGTATTTGGAGATGTAGAAATTTTTATGTATTGGGATGAAATCCTGTATGAATTATTCTAACGTTTTGCTGAAATTTTTACATGATCTTGATCTTCATGTTTTGCTGATGGGAACTTTATTGGTAGTCATTTGGCTTGTGTTTTGTATAGTCCATACTTTCTCCAGATATAATCAAGGGAGTCACAGTGAAATTGTATATAGCCAGTTGTCTCCATGATGTCACACTACCTGTTCAGCATTCTTCCACCACATTTGCAGCTCAGCTCATTTGCCAGTATACATATTAAGTTTGCAGTAGAATAGGTCCAGTCAAATTTTTTGTAAGAGATGTTAAAAATGCTGAAAAACAACCTGCACAGCATATTTAAAAGTAGATGCACATTGTGAAACATTGATTTGTTTGAAAATAATGACACAAATTTCGTGTTCTGTTCCTACATAAGTATTTCCTTGAACTAAGAATATTTCGAATGAATTTAACGTTGGGTAAGATCTGAGTACACTAAACCAGAAATAAAGAAACCCCATCAGTTAATGAAAACTGATGATTACTGGCCTGTGCTGCTTTCCTTGAATTACGGAATTCTAAGGCAGGAAGACTCGGCTTTTCACTTTCAAAGACCAAATTGTTCCTTATCCATGATCAGCATTGCTTCCATATTTTATTATTTTATAACACTGAATCAGAATCGAAAGTTATGTAGTATAGATGACTTAATAAAGAGCAGCTGCAGTATTAAGTATGACTTTTGCCATGATTTCAGACTTCATTTTATAGGGGAGTCTTAAATGATTTCATCTAAATACAGTTTGAAAAAAATTAGAAAGTTTTATGATTATGTAAAAAGTCATATTTTTGTGATCATTAAAATTCTCATCCATCTTTTTGTGTATATGAAAGCAACCATTTGCTGACTGTGCAAGAAAATTATGACAGAATGTATGACTGGCTGCTGAGAGAATATGGCTCCAATGGGTGTGGGTTTACCACCACAGACATGTTATGTGTTGGTACCATGCTGTCATAGTAACTGTATAGTGCAGTAACTGAATCTGTTAAGTGTACTCTGTGATTTTCAGCCCTGTTGTTGATAATATAATGAGGAGAAAATGTACTGTTTCACAAAAGCCTTTGTCTTTCCTATTCATAGCACTACTGTATATTCAGCTCTCTCTCTAGTTACATACTTGTTTTATTTGTGAGCCTTAGTCATCTGTTTATTAGCTGTTGAAAGTTCAGAAAATTAAGTGAATGAAAACCAACTGCTTTGTTGCAGTTATTGATCCCATATTGATTTTCTGAGGGGCACACAGTAGCATAGTTGGTTGAGGCACTCCCTCACCAACCAACTTTCTCTACTCACTGGCCTGCATTGCACTGCAGTAACTAATCTCAGTCAATTAAGTGTTATGACCTTGGAGTGGACCACATAGAAAACACCACTTCCAAAATTTCTTCTATTGTTGCATCACGCAACGTAAAGAACACCACTTCCCAGTTACCCCATTGGTGTTTGTTAGGAATCTGTTGCCTAGCAGTGGGCGTTGTTTACTTAGCAACATGTCTACATGCTACAATAGGTTACAGGTAATACTGTTGGCTCCACCCATCTGCTGCTTTCTTTCAATGTTAATAAAGTGAATGTCACCAGGTTTTGCTTGGGCAACCATCTTTCATTTACAAGGTACTTGGGTCAGATTACGAGTATACCGAAGGCATTGTCTGTCTTAACCAGTCTTTCTTCTCTGTGGGTAAATGCCATGACATTGCATAGAAGAAAGCTGAGACCACTTCCTTCCCAACTTACGCTACCAAGTGTCTTTGAAGAAACCATAAATAAAGAAAATAATTGTATTCACATAAGCAGTGCTGAATAACCTCTGCAGTATGTTTGTTGTCATTTAATAATCGATTTGTAATTATCATGATCTTGCAGGTTTGGAGAACACAGGGGATCATACTGTACACTGGCATCATTTAATGATAAAGAAAATGTAACCACTATCGATAAGCAGTTAGGAAAGATTAGCACCATTGAGTCTAAACCACAGGTAAGGATTGCTTCATGTAGAGATTTATGTAAGAAATTAAAAATTCTACCTCTTCAATCATAATATATACAGTAAAACTTGGTTATAGCAACATCGGTTTCTGCGACACCTTGTCTATTGCATCAAATATTCAATGGTATGAACTAATTCCTCATAAAGCAACTGTTTTTATACCTTGCTTAGTACGACATGCACAAATGCATCAACCTCGTATGTAACGTCATTTTCATTCCTGAATTTCTCTGATATGGAGGGAAAGTTCGATGTGTCTGCCCACCCTCACTTTCTCTACTTGCTGACGTGACTGTCCTGGAAGAATACGACCGCGGGCTGCAAGAGGAGCGTGGGTTTTATGCGAAAACAAGGGTGTGGGGTGGGACTGCGTGAATAGTGCAAGAGGACGCGGCAGGTTGTTAACTGCATTCCTTTCCTAGAATCTCGTCTAACAGGACCTCACATTGTCTACTTACCCTATAGTGTTCCTGCCTAAACCCAGAGAAGTGCAGTAGCGAAAACATGGCAATGAAAAGGAAAGTTNTGGAAGTGCCCATTTCGGTTACAACGACATTCGTTTATAACGACACTATTTTTAGGTCCCTTTGATGACGTTATAACCAAGTTCTACTGTACTATCGCTTCTCTTATTTGTTGTGTACAAGAAAAATAAATTTGAATTAAATTCCAGTATCCATAACATGAATACTAGACAAAAATATAACTTCCATCTACCTTCATCAAACTTATTACTATATCAAAAAGGAGTGTACTTTTCTGGCATAAAAGTGTACAATAGTCTCCCACAAAGTATCAAAAACTTGAGTAATGATACTAAACATTTTAAATCAGAGCTAAAGAAATATCTGCATGCTCATTCCTTCTACTCTGTAGATGAATACCTCAATGTAAATAGAGAATAATGTAGAAGCTATATTAGTTAAAGATAACATTACTTGTACCAGTAGGTATTATTTTGACTTGTTCTATATCCAGAGGTATTAACGTACTTAGGATCTATGGAATGCAAATAAATTCAGTTCAATTTACTTGTTGCTGTGTTGCTCCTGAGGTACTAAATGAGATTCTACAGGCACTTTTTTACTTTCCAGATGACTCCGCTGAGTACAAGTAACCAGTACCAGGGCAGTGTGAAGAAAGGCCATAGCGGAGGCAGTCACAAGCAGAATAAATCAGTCTCGAGGCTTAACAAGAGTTGGGGAGGTCATAATGGAAACTTCACCTTCCACCACCATCTTCAGTCATGGTACAACTTGATCCCCAATCACTGGCTGTCACCATCTCACCCTCCATATCTGCTCAGGTCACCATCTCCCCCTCCATATCTGCTCAGGTCACCATCTCCACCTCCATATCTGCTCAGGTCACCCCCTGGAGGAAAATGGGGTGCTCATGTACCTGCTCACCGATACCACTGGCAAAGCAACAACCGTCATAACCGCAGTCACCACAAGATTACACTGAAGGTTTAGTTGGCAAGCAGTGGCTTGTAAGGTGCACCACACAGTGGATGAAATTTGTAGTTTTAAATCATTTTCTGATGATAGTAAATGGATTATTAGTTTTCATATCTTGGTGAAAATGGTCAGTTTGTACAGTTCTGTTCTTCCCATAGCACCAGGTGAGATAATTATAAAGTATACCATCTCCTCGTTTTTTTTTTTGTGCTAATGTTACTAGTGTTTCAATCACAGGAAAGTGAACAAGGTGCATTTTACATCATCCCTGCTAACTGCTAATTCATTGAAAGCAGTTACATTGTTGCAGCATTATAATGGTGTGAATGTTCACAAAATTTTACGCCATTTTTCTCACTGTTTCTCTGTCTCTATGATAGGAACAAAAGTAACAATGCAGATGGTAGGCTCTGTGTGTTTTAGTCTTTTGTCAGCTCTTATTATTTTTCTTTTTGATAAGAATGTGGAATCAAAGTAACATGGCAGGGATCCATGAGATTGGGTATTTTACATTACTTGAGTAAAGTTGACACACATTTTCTCAGATTTGTTACGTGCAATCACAATGATTGCTTGCACACAGAAATGAATTGGGCTTTTGCTGGAAGCAGACTTACTTTGATTCCATCATGGAACAATGAAATCTTATTGCATAGGATTTCTTACTGTATGTAAATTAGTAGCTAAATTAAACTTGTAATGTCATTCTGAAATGCATTATAATAGTTTCTGTATGAAGATTCTGCATATTTTAGAAAATATGTCTGCCTAAAAGTTGCCAGAAGTAACATAGCACAGAAGGCGAAAATATTTTGTCTTTTTTTGTGGCTGTGATTACTGTTACAGGCATACCTGGGTTCATAATCATGCTGTCTCATTTAATGTGACTTCCAAACAACATTTCATTGTTCAAGTTTTCATAGTTTTGCTAGTGGTCCTTGAATCAGTATTTTCTTTTATTTACTGCCAAACACTGTTCCTAACTAAACATGTCATAGGCTTTGGTCAGTTTATATTTTATTACTTGAGTGTTCTTGCACGTGTGCATGATTTTGAAAATATGTTCATGAAAACGTAATGTTGGAAAACCACATCATTCATTCCTCACATGAAATCATAGCAGCAGTTTACATGCTTCTGAGAGTTTGACGCCAGTTATGATTCAAGGACCACTGTTTAGAGTATAGTTCAGGTTACCCTTGGCAGTTGGTGGTAGATGCACATACATTCCAGATAGACCACTTCTTCCAGCTTCTTTTACGTACTTCCCTTATCTTTGGCCATATATCTTGTGCATTACATTATTTGATGAGTTAGGTTTATATATTCAGATTCTGATCATTTCAATTGCAAATTCTTTTAAGTTTAGACACTTAATTTGAAGAATACATCATGCCTGCCATTTGTGATAACACTGTTAACGTGATTCATATTGGTGTCAAGAAATGCCAAAGATGTTTGAAGCAATTAGCTTAACTTTTAAGAAACTTCATTCTGGATGTTTGTTAGCTTTTCATTGTTTCACTATGATTTTGCTTGTGCATGGCATGTTGCATATGTCAGAATTATTAGTCTTATATAATTGGTGTCAGTTTGCAAATCTGGAATTGCACATGTTTTCTGCATGATAATCCAGTGTTTACTGTTTTAACTACAGTGATCTCTTAATACATGTTGATAAAGTGCAGCATTTCAGTTTGTTCATGACCATATTACTTCATGGATTTTGGCTATGGGCATTTCTAGATGAGATTCCAAATTACACTGATATTCTGCACCCATCATCTCATGTACAGATATATGAATATATTTGTGAGATTAATTTTATTAGATTTTAAATTTGATTAATTTATATTTTTCATATATGGGTATATGCTGTAGCTGTATGTGTTGTTTATGTAGTTGTGACCAACCAGTTGAAAAGCCAGGTTGGGGTGTTGCCCTTCTACTTTGATTTCTCTTAATATTGGGGTATATCAGTTGCATACCTAAACTACTCGTGGATATCATAGCACTGAAAATCAGCGCTGTTGCCAGTTATGTTCCTTGTGTACATTAAATATTCCATTGTTTTAAGGTTCTCTTTCCGTGATTTGGGAGGGGTGTGAATATAGTGCATTAATTAAATTATGGTCTATATTTTGTTTTTGTCTGTTGATTATATTAGAGAATATATTATAATTGTATACTAAAAGTATAACATTGTGTTATATACCATTTGTTGGTGTAACATAAAAGGTAATTTTGCATCAAAAGAGCAAGTGTTATTTAATTCCCAAACCTCTTCACATTTCCCATTCAATTTATTGCTTTATTTTTTAATGTTTCAGACTTTTGTTAAATTGACAAATTGTAGATAGGTTGCCCAGAATGAATGAATGTATAAGGGGTGGTCTTTCTCAGTCCTTGCACCGTGACCTACAGTGGTCTATTGTGCTTCCCCTTTTGATTATACCCTCAGGAATCCTGCACTTCAAATGAAGCACAGGATTTTGTACATGGCATCAAAGTGACATAATCTTAAATAAGGTACTGTTCATGTACATCTCGCTGATCATGGCAGTGTGATCATATGGGTCATAATGCCAAAAAGAAAAATAGTTTGAATTATCCTGAATTCTGGATTAGTGAGGTTACACTATAGTTTATAATGCTGTTCCAAATTGCGAGGTTATGAAACATTGAATGGTGAATACAAGACAGATATTGTGACAAAGAAAGAATGTATTGTCATGTAAAATTAATTTTAACCACTTTCATATGCAATTAAATATGGCTCATTCACCCCCACAAGTTTTAAAATGCTTGGGTAAACCTCCAAGAGCTAAACAGACAAGAAAAGGGCCAAAAACCCAATAATAGAATTGTTTGACATGATCCCCCATGGAGAAGATTTAGGGTCACGTGATACCATTCATGGAATCTAAGCATGCAACTATTATTTTGATAAATGGCCAGAATAATATGATTTAATACAATAGCCAAAGATTACAACCATGGAATGGATAATGGCACTTACAGTATGCATATATGGACTGAAGCTTTCACTCCAGTCCATATATATATATTGCTCTTCTGGGTTATGACATTGTACACTCTGATAGGTCAGTGTCCACCTGCAAGATTTGCGTGGAAACATCAGACCATTTGGGAACACATTAATATTGCTTGCAGGAGATTTCAGGCAAACATTACCTGTAATTCCTCGATCAACACCAGCGGACGAAATAAATGCTTGCCTGAAATACTCTACTTTGTGGCGACACGTAAAGACGTTAAAATTAACTACAAATATGCGTGTCCAGCTGCAAAACGATTGATCAGCTGAGATATTCTCACATCAATTGCTGGAAATTGGGAACGGAAAGGTGCCGGTTGATCTGACCTAAGGACGAATTTCGTTGCCTCATAACTTCTGCAATTTAGTGACGTCAAAAGAAGAATTGGTTGAAAAAGTATTTCCCAATATTCAAACCAATTATAAGAATCACAATTGGCTGAGTGAACGAGCTATTCTTACGGCCAAGAACAAAGACGTCTATGAACTTAACAATATCATTCAGTCTAATATTCACTGTGAGACAGTCACATACAAGTCCGTCGACACTGTTGTGGAAGCAGATGAAGCAGTTAATTATCTAACAGAATTTTTGAATTCACTCGATCTGCCACAGCAACGCGTGGCCGGGTACAGCTAGTATTAAATAAATTTTTCAGGTGGTCAACTCTTACTGCTAGCATCAGTTGCTGTTATCTGCATCAACCTTTGATCTACTATGAACAAACATGGACCATGACTGGCGTCATACCTTTATAAAGACCTTCTTTGAGACCTCTTAATTTAATTGACCCTTTTCTGATCAGTTCTTGAGACATGCCAGTACAGTCAACATCACTTTATTTAATGTAGTACTGGCTGTCTTACACTCATGTCCCAGATCTTCTAAGTCTACAAGTTAAGAACTGAGTTTGTCAACCTGAATGCTTGCTATTTTCGGGGGATGGGGGTTATTGCATTGTCAGTAGCCAGACTATACATCATGAAGTGGTAGGACTACTGACAAATTTCAATGCCCCTGATGATGGCCAAAATATGTAGTGCAGTGATGAATTTTAAGAGAATTTAATTTTAAATCTTGGTATTTTTGCATGGTGGACAGTACACAACTGAATATAAATTCAAAGTCTCCACAGTGAGTTACAGGGATAGCTTTACTTTTTTTTGTGACATTACTTTTCAAATTATATATATAATTTGAAAAGTAATGTCACAAAAAAAAGTAAAGCTATCCCTGTAACTCACTGTGGAGACTTTGAATTTATATTCAGTTGTGTACTGTCCACCATGCAAAAATACCAAGATTTAAAATTAAATTCTCTTAAAATTCATCACTGCACTACATATTTTGGCCATCATCAGGGGCATTGAAATTTGTCAGTAGTCCTACCACTTCATGATGTATNATATTTTAGTGACTTCTGTTGTTGACCATAGCCAGTTAGAAGATTCTATGGGACAGTCTGTATCTAGGATAATTCACTTGCTATTTTTTTCTGTGTGCAGTATTTGATAAACAGCTCTTGCCATTCCATTATGCTCCCTTTCTGTGTTTCATCTGTTCATGTTTCCACCAGGCTGGACTGCCTTGCGACAAAGCCATCTGTCATATTTATTCAAGTGGACATACATATGAAACATGCTGACTTCACCCCTTGCATGTTCTTACCTCTTAACCTTTATTGTCCAAGAATAGGGGATTTAAATGTCCCAGTACTGCAATAGTGGAGGCTGGAGTTTAACCTTGGGGTAATGATATTTATTTTGAAAAAAAGTGAGACAAGGCTTGCTGGACCTGCACATGTACCATCATAAAAGTGCAGTGCATGGATAACAAATGCTAAAAATCTCTTCACCATTAAAGTATAAGCTCTGTTGTATGCAAGAGCTGTGCAGTGCACTACAAATGGAAACGTTCCACTAAACATATACAATATTGCAACATTAATTGTAAGAACAATACTTGTATAAATGTTAACAAAGTGTACATACTACTCTCCAGCATCGCAGAAGATCCTGTTATGCGTGCTTGTGAAGTGAGACATGACTTTACATCATTACTTAGTTACTTATACAACTAGTCAGCATCTTTGCACCTGTTTTGAAACATCTATGGCTATACAGCCTTTACTGTTGGACCTTGGCCCCTTTTTCAGTTTAATAATCCTATAGACAGTCAGTAGGACAGGTTGGACAGGGGATCAGCCAGTCACAAGGCCACTACCTTCACATAGAACAACAGAAACAGAATAAACACATACAGACATCCATGTCTTGAGTGGGATTCGAACCCACAATCCCAGCATTCAAGTGAGTGAAGACACTGCATGGCCACTGTGATCAGCTGTTTTGAAATATGAAGAATGTAAATAGAGGTTCTTCCTTCTGCATAACTGTTTAGAAGCAGAATAATTCAAATTAGTACTTCAACTTCCTAATGTGGACAAGAGATTTTCTGTTCTGCACGGCATGTAGACTGGCTTTTGAGCCCATTGTGCCACGTATCCAGTAAGCACCAGGGGCCACATGTTCTGTAGGGGTAAATCGGCCAGGGTGCAAAGCTGACCACTAACCTCTGTCTAGTGCTCAACTTGTGACCTTGTGGAGCTATGCATTCACTTCTCCATATATCATCATGACATGATACTTAATTGCCTTACATAATACAATCAGATGTAACTGTAATTTATTTTATTCAACTATTTATATTGATTTAAAAATTAATCAACTCATTACTGATATTATTTTGTTATGTAACCAACTGACAAATTCCAGTGTAGTTAGCAACATGCACAGTGAAATGTCAGTGTGTACAAATCAGAATAATTTTTTGTAAATTCATTCAATGAAACAATTGTAGAATATTTGTAATTTCCATTAGCTGTAGGCAGAGCCATATGTGGTATATTCTTATGTAGAGGCTGTTTCTGTTCTGAAGGTGCATTCCAGAAGTAGAGTGTGACCTACACCTCTGATGAAGCTATATTAATTTATGAAGTGCTGAAGAAAATGACATGCACCTTTTCTTGATTATAATTCTGAAGTAAGTCTCTAGATACTGCAATCCTAGGAGGAAGGAGTGTCTGGAGAAATGTACCCCACATTCCTCTCCAGAAATACATGCAACGTCGCATTTGTACTCAGGGTATCCTGGGAAATAGACCTGCGGGCTCTCTACAGGCAGGTAATGTATGGAGTAGACATATAGGCAATAATGAATTTCATGGTCATAAATGTAGGGTGGGCGGCTATAAGATGCAGTGGAGATTTCTCTGCTGCCAAGGACCATACAACAGTGCGTATAAGTTCAAATTAAAATTTCCGTTAGTATAATGAAGTCTGTTAGCACATGTTTGCCGCGAGAAAATTCGGAGTTCGGTCAATGGTAAAACGTTTGCGCCAAGAGAAAAGGAGTGCCACGCATTGTACAGCGTATGTATAAATGAACCTCCCCTCCCCCCTCAAAAATACTAGTGTATATCTAGGTGTTTGCTGCTGGCACCTATGTATATGCGACTGAGAGTATAGATGGGTATGTTCTCAGAACGCTACAGCGAGGTCTGGATGCGATTGAGACGCAGTGTGAGCCCTGGAACAAAGAAAATGAAGTTTTATGTCAAGAGAGAGAGATCGGTTGGGTGTCATCTCATATTGAACGGACGAAGAACCCCTTCGTGAGTCATGTACAACATCTGTATATTTTTCGGTAAGAGGATTAGATACAGAAATGATCGAAGCCATTGCCTTCACAACATTTATTAGAGTCGAGTAAAGACACTGCTAACCGTTTTCTTCGATTCCAAAGGAATCATTCACAAGGAATTTCTGCCAGAAGGTCAAACAGTGAATTCTGAATATTATCTCGGAGTCCTCAATCGTTTGTGGGCGAGAATTCTTCGAATTTGACCTGAATATCGAGAGTAAGGTTCCTTGTCGCTTGTCCAGGACAATGCCTCACCCCACAAATAGAAGATCTAGCGCGATTTTTGGCCAGAAAAGGGATCACAGTCCTTGATCATCCTCCGTATTCTCCAGATTTGGCTCCAGCATATTTCTGGTTGTTCCCAGAAGTTTAGTTGGCGATGAAAGGAGACAGTCACGACATCATCCAGGACATCCAAAGGGAATGTACCGTAGTTTTAATGCGGTTCCACAAAAGGAGTACAGTGACTTTTCGAAAAATTTCCATCGATCCCAGC